ATTGAAATGTTGATTTGAATTAATGTAAAATAAGTGATAAAATGCTTTCCAATCACAACACCATTAATACACTCAACAATTATCACTATTTCCACTATTTTGATCTAAATGTCACTTCAAAACTCGATGTAAAAAACTGATTTTGAAAATTAATTAAAACATTCAAAACAAATCAGTAATAAAATGCTTTCCAATTACAACACCATTAATACACTCAACACTCACTGCAGAAAATTCAATGTTTTCATATCACATGCTTTAATCACATGATGTTGTTTATGAGACCTGGGAAGGGATTAACACCTGGTATGTAAATAAAGGGATTAAATGTAGATAAAAGTGCAAAACTTTCCGCCAATTGGGGAGCTAGGAAATAATTTCCAGTTTATGAAATATTTTAAAAGTGAAAATAATTTTGTAAAACATTTTTAAGATGACCACCTAGAGCACTATTTCTGAAATTACTGTCTATTCCATGTTTATAATTAATGATTTAAATGATTGGTTTAATTGTAATTAAATTAAATCGAAATTTAGTGGTATTTGATTTCCTAGGGGTGGGGGTTAGGGACTGGCGAACGTAATTTCCTGAAATGATTACAAGCGAACAATTACGAACAAGAGAGGTTGAGGGGGTCAAGATTTCTTAAAAAGTGCGAACGTAATATGTGAACAATGCCTTATGATAAACACAATTCTTGATATTGACACTCATATTTACTTTGATTTGTTTGTACTAACTAATATATACACTATTTCTAATTCTAAGGTTTTTCTGACCGTGAAAGGAGGCGTGTGTTTAGTGAAGTCAAAATATTAGCCAAAATGCGTTCAGAATATGTGGTACGGTATTACTACTCGTGGACAGAAAGCACTTGCCTATACATTCAGATGGAATTATGTGCTGATAATCTCAGAAATGTGCTTGCTGATAAACTAATAATATTTTTTAAGGAAAGAGAAACCCTGAATTGCATCGAGTACTTCATTTCGTGTGAAATATTCCGAGAGATCTTAGAAAGTGTTCAGTATTTGCATGAATTGGATCCACCGATCATCCACAGAGACCTCAAACCCGAAAACATATTGATCGCAAGGAATGTCACGAGCGGTAGGTTTATTAAGTTATGTGACTTCGCTTGTGCTACTGTTCACGACACGAGTGGACATGAACATACGGAAGATGTCGGGGACTTGAGATATCAGGCACCGGAAGTATCCCGTGGATATGCATACGACCATAAGTGTGATGTTTATAGTCTGGCGTTAATTGGCGGTGAAATATTCGGTATTGATCTTGACATAATTGGTGATTGTAGGTAAAGAAAATAATAATTTTATATTTATCTACCCTGTATATTTTATTAATGCATTATGACAATTTTGTTAATTTAAATAAATTAAATGTCTATTTTCAATTTGTTAGGATTTTAGGAAAATAGATTTTTGAATAAAAATTAAACTTTTATTCAGTGATTATGGCAATTCATTTATTTTGAAATATGTTTACTGGTACTTTATATTAGTATTACATTGTTGCAAAAGTTCTCGCCGCTTATAACATTGCGTTCTATGGCAATTTCGGCGAGAACTTTTGCACCAATGTAATATATTTAATGGATAAGCTGGACACATTAAGGGCTTGATTATAAATTTAAATTATAAGCTCCCAAAGCCCCGGATTATGTTATCATAATCCATAATAAAATAATGGATTTTACACAGTTTGCACTTTAAAACTCTTCATTATATACTCAAATATTACATTAAATTTTTGCTATGAATCTTATTTATATACTTTAAAAGAATATACGATTTAAATTTAACAGATTTCTGAATAACAAAGTCATCCAGCCACAACTATCAAAATTGTATCCAATTTTAAAGAATATGTCAAAACTAATGTGGAATATGAGACCGGAATGCAGTGATATTCTCGCGAGGTCCAAAGACTGGATAATAAATAAAAGTGACCTGCACCTAACAAATTTACAACAAACTGCAATATTAGATCACCTCAAAAATGAGGCCAACCCCATTTTCTATGATATCTGCAATTTTATGTTGAACGATCAATTGTTAATTTCTGTCGATAAAAATAGCCATCTCCAATCACGTATAATAGTACTAGATAACTATTTTACAACCACTTTTGACCAAATAAAAATTATTGGAATTGGTGGCTATGGTACTGTATACAAAGTGAAACATAAAACAAGTGGACAGATATTTGCAATTAAATGTTACGATTTAAAGAGTAAGTCTAAAATGTTTTACATGCGAGACAAAAATCTACCAATTTAGGTAATAATCATATAATATTTGACAGGTGTAACAGAACGTGAGCGAGATCTATTTTTTAACGACGTTAATAAAATAAATAAAATCCGTTCCGAACATGTGGTGCGTTTGGAAAAGACGTGGATTGATAGGAGTATGCTATACATGCAAATGGAGTTGTGTTCACAAAATCTTCGGAATATATATGATCTAAAAAACCAAGTATTTAGTCGTCGTTTGGATGAACCCATGGATTGTGTCGAGTATTTCATTTCGTGCGAAATATTCCGAGAGATCTTAGAAAGTGTTCAGTATTTGCATGACTTGAATCCACCGATCATTCACAGAGACCTCAAACCAGAGAACATACTAATTGCTGAAAATATAAGGAACGGTAGATTTATAAAGTTATGCGACTTCGGTTTGGCTACTGTTCACGACAAACGCATTCACAATCGGACATCACGTAAACATACGGGCGGTGTCGGTGACATGAGGTATATGGCACCGGAAGTGTGTCAGGGGCAAAAATATGACCATAAGTGCGATATCTATAGCTTGGCACTAATTGGTGGTGAATTATTTGATATCAACATTTTTACCATAAATATAAAAAAGTATATTTTGTAAATATTTATTGTATTATTATTAACATGCTACTATTTTCAGTTTAAAACTATATTCCGCCACTAATCCTATACTAAATGCACCGGCATTACAATTGTTCAAGATATTTGATACCATGATTATTGCCAACTGGAATAAAAGGCCCGAATGTCGGGAAATATTAGACAAATACAGTAATGTAAATACGAAATATATTAATTGGTCCATTGAGCGAGCTACAATTCTGTCCGATCCACAATTACCTATAATGATAACCATGCTCAATTATCATGAAAACAAATTTTTCTACAATTTCCTTATAATAAAATCTAATTATAAGTCACAGACTGATGAGGAACCTATTGTAGTGGACATACCTGGGTCGAGCACAGAATCATCATGGCCATATACCGATAAAATACATATTGACGTTATGTCAAGCAAAATACTACGATCAGGGGGCAGTCGGTACTTTAAAATAGACTCTAAACCGAGGGGTCGGGCAATCATAATACTAACTGTGCCTGGGCTAAAAAATGAGGCACTCAGATGGGAGTCCATTCTGAGTCAATTGTACTTTATGGTGGAAAAACACGAATTTATAGCAAGCTCACAAATCAATACACTATTGGATTGTGTGGCCACTGATCGCCACGAAGGCGATGCCTTTTTTATGGTCTACATCGGACACGGATGTGATGAGAGGGTTATGGGTTCAGAGGATGTGGAGGGCGATGGCCTACTTGTCAGCGATATTGTGGGCAAGTTTTCTGCAGAAAACGGTCGTTCATTCCAAATTAAACCCAAGGTATTTGTGTTCAACTGTAGCCCAAACTGTGAGTATAATATCTGCTTGTATAGTTTAAGGGATGTTCAATAAATGCTTGCTCAAATCAACTTATTTAATATTCTTTTCGCATTGGAATATGAATTACTGTATAGGAAAATAATAAAACTATTGCTTTTAATTAAAAGTTAAAATCTAACGAAAATATTTCATAATAGATATTGAGGCTAAAAAATTAATTGTACCTGGCACGTCGGTCAATGAACCCTTGTCCAATTTGGAGTCCATTGATGAGCCATTGCAAAGCTATAATACGGGGATGTTTATTATCCATAGCTGTTATAAAGGTACGTGTACTACATATTGTGTATTCTATATAGTGATAAAAGTCGAGCTTGATCATAATATATTTTATACTTTTTACAATAGGAATTGAATCGTGGTACTCACCCGAAATTGGACTGACACAATTTGGACAGGCGTTTAGCCATACAATAGCACAATATTCATGGAATATACATTTGGCTAGGCTCATTTCAATGGTTAACAACTTGTTTATAAAATTTAATACTTTTGTGTTAAAATAGTTTATTGAGTTATCAGTAAAAAGTAGTTTAATATGATACTGAGACCATCATCAGGGTTAAGATATTGAGATAATTAACTTGTCTTATGTTAAAATGATATTTGTTTTAATTATAATTCATAAAACATTTATTAATTTTTATATACAATGAATGACAGACACAAACACGACTAGAAAAGGAGATGAGCAAGGATCAACTGCCAAATATCAGGATCATGTCTACATGTTTCCACCGAGACCTGTATTTCAATCCTGGGTTAAGTAAACCCTTATAAGTTGTCGACATCATATTGTTAAACTAAATTTATAATTATAACTATTTAAATAATTTAATCTCACTATGATTTAATATTTAAACTTTATTTTAACAAGCAAAATAAATTGCTGTGTTATTAATATTTATATAACTATGTGATCGAAGCAAGTTCACTCTAATTGCTATAATCAATATTTGTCACATGGAGTGTATTTTTAATTTAACACTGATACAAATGTTTTTAACCAAGAAACTTTTTCGAATGATTACAAATAAATTGATATTTAAAATTGCAAAAATTATTTGTAGTGAATACCACTTTATTCATGAAATGTACATAAAATCGCGAATTTGTATGCATTTATAAATAGTACACAAAATATACGACAATTACTATCAAAAGCATATCAATTATATGCAAACATATGGCACTAAATGAGGTATAAATAGCCATTGCGTGGACAGATAGGCAGTCAGATAGTAGGCTATCCATTGTTGATGACAACGGGATTCACTGAAAACTCTTATATCTTTTAATCAAAAATCTGTTCAAAAAGCTATTAATAGCCGCGAATGGAGTGCTCGACTCAATACCGTCCATACAATCGACACATTTAGTGATCACTAACTCGTGACACCTCTTGTGGACCATCGATGAGCACACTATGGATAGGACACTGGTATTAGATATACGGGTGACATACCAATCAATGGTTGGCAAGCATACAGACCCTGGCACTGGTAGCCCATCAGTTTGACACCGGAGCTCCATATGAATTCCCTACAGTGACAACATTTGGTGGGTTGGCCTACGCGGGTTGGTCTAAATTTATGGCCATTTACTCGGTATACGCGCCGTCTGATAGCGCCCTTACGTTCACTTAGTTTGTGATAATCCTCGACCTCCTGGGCCTCCATATCCCCGAAACTTTAGGCCAACTGTTTGGCCATACATTCAGTTTTGTATTTAACACATCATTCATAGAGACGCAGGAATTCCTACCATATTTTGCACCATAAATGACGTGAACTCACAGAATATTCTGTGATTCTGTCATAAACTATATTTCTTGCATAGAATTTACTTGTATTGCATGTACTTATGCATAGAATTTATAACCATTGTTATTGCATAGAGTTGTCAAATAAGTTTTGTTTATTTGTATTTCAGTAGAGTTTTATTTATTTTGAGATAAAAATAGATTTAAAATATTTGTCTCAAGACTTGAAGTTTTCAAATCAATGTTTTATAAATTCCTACGATATATATATAAGTTATTTATAAAAGTTTTTGACATTTTAATAACACTTTTATGCATTGTAAACATTAGTTAAAACAAAATTTGTTAAATTAGTTGTTTATTATGTAACATTAATAGTCTATTAGTATTAATAATATATATAAATTATTCAATAATAATTATTATTGTAAACCACAAATTATTCAAATAACTTATTCATAGGAAATGCAAATAAGTTTTGAACGGAATTTTTATTTCCAATTAATACAGTAGTTAAACACAAATAAAATTGTTTGCCATTGAATGCTATAATAAGTCAATTATCTATTAATTAAGTTGTTTTTCGCATACACTTCATATTTACTATAGTATTAGATATGAATTACTAAAAATAGCGATAAGGATATCGATAAGAAGGCATAAGGGAACTGGCGTTTGGGTCAATAAAATCACCATTAATTGATTGAATAGACTCTTCAATAGGGAAAAAGTTAATCAGAAAAACAGTTCAAACATTAACACGACTTTTGATCAGAAAAACTCAGAAAAAAGTCTCTTATCTATGAAAGTGAGCGAAACAATAACATATTTTTTTGTAAACTTTTAATAATAATCATTCATTTCATTCATTAGATTTAAAAATAACTATTTAATAGGAAAAGTGTTTAATAAACTGACGCCCCATTGGCTAACAAAACTCATAGATATGTAAAAAACATGTAAAAAATTCATTGATAACATAGTTATTAGGGATTTGTTTTACATAATCATAAAAACGTATTTATATTTTTTGTGTATTAATTGTGTTTTTATTAAAATCTGTATTAATATTAGTCTTAAAAACTATTTTGTGTTTGAATTAAATCACGAAACAAGTGATGAATCAAACGAATAGCAAGTATTTCTACGAGAAGATAATGGGAACCGATTCGCAGCCGAGGTTTAAGACTCTTCACGAGTGCGACAATAGCGCCGACAATCATAACGACGAGAACACCGGCGATGCAGACAATGGTATCAATCAATTATCATTCAAATGTCACCAATCAGTTCAGTTATATATTCAATAAAAACCTCTCAACCCCTACACTCTCACAACATAGCGGTGCCTAACAGTAAACCAATCAATTCCTAACTCCAACCCCTGTTCCCCACCGTAGGTCTGGTGCTATATCTCGAGGAATCGGATGACATGACAGTCAACGAGTGCTGCCTTTGGTTTCGTCAAAGATATTTCACTCGTGAGAAACTCCGGCGACGCCTACCGTTCGTCCATTGGCTGCCGAACTACTCATTAGCCGACCTGAAGGGCGATATCATCGCCGGCCTATCGGTCGCCTTCACTATTGTACCCCAAGGGCTAGCCCTGGCCGTGTTGGCCGGCCTACCGGCCCAGTACGGCCTCTACACCTCATTCATGGGCTGTTTTATATACGCACTGCTCGGCAGCTGCAAAGACGTGGCCGTCGGCCCCACCTCTATCATGGCTATCATAGTGGCCCCGTATGTGATGGCCGGTGGCGTCCAGTACTCGATACTACTGGCCTTTATGGCCGGTTGCATACAGTTCCTGTTCGGCGTACTCAACCTCGGCTTCATTGTCGACTTCATCTCATTCCCAGTGATATCCAGCTTCTCATCGGCGGCCGCCATCACGATAGCCGCCTCTCAGCTGAAGCTACTGTTCGGCCAACACTACACGGCCTCCCGTTTCCCGGACACTATGATTAAGTTCGCGGCCAACCTCTGGGAGATCAACATCTGGGACACCACTATGGGAATGGCGAGCCTACTGTTCCTCATACCCATCCAATTGGCCAAAGACTACCGCTTCAAACCGGACGCCGACGCCGGCGCCAAACGGCACACCCTTTACGCCGTACTGAACGGCGTGTGGGCTATGACTGTGACCGCCCGGAACGCGCTGGTAGTCATTATCGGCGCCTTCATCGCCGGCTACTACTACGAGTCGGAAACGGTAGGCCCGGACGGCACCAGTGGACAGCTATTCACGATGACCGGCGAGATTCGCACCGGACTACCGCCCTTCCAGTGGCCCTCATTCTCGGTGCACAACACCAACACCACTACCGTGCCATTCACGCAGGTATTCTCGGACTTGGGCACCGGCGTGTTTGTCGTGGCCCTACTGGGGCTCATGGAGTCGGTAGCCGTGGCCAAGGCGTTCGAGACGAAGCGCATGGACGCCACTCAGGAGATGATAGCCATCGGGATGTGCAACATCTTGGGCTCGTGTTTCGGGGCGTTCGCAGCGACGGGCAGTTTCTCGCGATCGGCGGTCAACCACAACAGCGGTGTCCGCACGCCGTTCGGCGGCATCGTTACCGGCGCTCTCGTACTGCTGGCCCTCTCGACGCTCGCCCCCTATTTCCAGTACATCCCGCAGACAATATTGGCCACAATTATCATCACAGCCGTCATATTCATGCTGAGACCGTTGGACCCGTTCCTCATATGGCAGACAAACAAAGTGGATGTCCTGCCCTACGTGTCCACGTTCGTGGTGTGCCTGGTGTTTGGGCTCGAGTACGGCATAGTGGCCGGTGTGGGCTCGTCCGTCGTGATACTGCTGTACCAAATGGCCAGACCCAAGGTGTTCATAGTGCATAAGCGCACACCCGATGGCTACCCCTTTCTGTACGTAAAGCCCGACCGGAGTGTCTTCTTCCCGTCCATTGAGTACATGAAAGTGAAGATCAATAAAGAGCTTCCGGACAGTCAGGAGATGTCGGCCAAGATTGCCGTGGTTTTGGACGGGGAGCACATGTTTAGAGCCGACTCCACGTTCGCGCAGGTATTCTGTCATAAGTTGCTAATTATTGGCCAAATTCTTGAGTTTATTCTGTGATTCTGTGATTTTAAACAACTTTTATTTGGTTACCAAAAGGGCGTCAAGAATATGATATCGAGTCTAAGCGATCGCCGGGTGTTGACTGTGTTTTACAATCTGCGAAAAACGGTGTTCCGGGCCATCCATGGGGCCGGCATTCCGTCCAATGAGTTCCACAACTGTCGCACTGAGGAGGAGGTCTACCATCTCATCAAAACCCATAATAAGATCCGAGTGTCGCGATCGCAGTCCAACATCGAGACACTCTTCAATCAAAGTACCACTTCTTGTGGCCATTGGATCTCACAGTCGGCTCAGGCCTATTGATCAGCACCGGGATGTCGGCACAGACTCCTCTCTCTCTCTCTCTCTCTCTCTCGCCTTTCTATTAAATATGTATTTCCTGTTAATATAGTTTTTAAAATTAAATTTATAACTCAAATGTAATGCAAATAACAATTATAATAGTATATAAAGTTAATAATCTGTGATCAACCATATATTAGCCATAAATATGCAATTAATTAATAACTGTTTTAAAAAAGTGTTTTTAAAAGTTATTGTATTTATAAAAATAATTGTTTTATATGCATTTTAAATATATATAATACTAAATAATTAATTAAAATAAAATATTTTTAGATTTTTATAATTAATGTGAATTTAGTTTAATTAAAACATTGCTATAAAAGTGGTACAAAAAAGTGGTGCAAAAAGTGTTAAAAACTTTTTTTGATTGACTTTAATGCGAGGGAAAGGGATTAAAAATACAGCAGTTTTTCGCACTGATATGTGAGGGGAACGATATCATAGTTGAAAAGCTTACAGTGCATAGTATGCTCACATACCAGTGCTTTCTTACAGTTTATGAACTCGTAGTCATCCCATAGGCGCCAATTAGGCCGTACATGTCATGGGTTTTAAGGTATTAGTACACAATATGCCACTCATTATAGTGTACGACACGCT